ATATCATGCGTAACACTGTTGTACCATGGTGCTTTAGTTTTCTCTTTAACCTTTTTTAATCTAATTGGTGCAACAATATCTAATGTACTAGTGAAAATGGTGCTCAAACTGCTAGTCATTTCCTCTAGTTCATCTGTTTGTTTGGGTTCACTGAGCAGCTGAGATAGATCAGGTAAGCTATTTGAGAATCTATCTATAGTGGTTGGAAGGATTGTTCTGCCTGGTCTATAACGTGGCGCAACATGACATATTTCAGCAGTACGTATTATGCACGTTACCATGTAATGATCAGTGACATCATCACTTTGCGGTATAATATCTATATCAGTTGGATTGGTTCCATATGATATAATTAAATCTAGTGTATGATTTAGACGATGAGTGGGACCACGGACGTTTTGCTTGACCCCAAAGGAGTTTAATAAATCTGTAAACGCAGCCCCTAACGCATCATTTTTGTTGTCTACGTGTATGTTAAAATCTCCAACAATTATTGCTTTATCGACATTGACCAATAGATCCGAGAGAAAGTCCACTAAGGAGGACCACTAAGTCTGTCCCTACCCCTCCCATCCCACCCTCTGTATTACCTGGTCATTATGTGTTTTCTAAACCAGTATTTCCCTGGTTTGCCTCAAACTATTCCCCTGGATTATTTTCTTCCCTCCCAGTTCCGTTTCTTGGAAGCCCCGGAACTCCAAGTTTTGTTCCTCACCCGCCCTCCCTGTTGGTACCCCCTTTACCCAGTGTGGACGCCTGGAGGCGTCCATTAGAGGGGGGGTACTGTCAAGGTTCTGCCCTGGCAGACTTGTCTGTTTTGTTGTGGTTTCATGTTTCTGTGTTTGTCTTGTGTTTGAGCACATGGCTCTGTCTTGGTCTGTGTTTGCCATGTGCTCCTCATGTCCTGCCTCCTTGTTTCTCGTTACCACGCCCCCTTGTTTAGTCCACGTCTTGTCCTCGTTTCATTAATTGTGCTCACCTAATCCTCATGTGCTCTGGTCCCTTCATATTGTGCCTCTTTCCCTCATGTCTTTGCTGGTTCGTTGTGTGTTGTGAGTATGCACATTGCAGTGTTTTCTAGTTTGTGATCTTGAAATTATCCTAGTGCTTACGCTGGTTTGTTATCATTGTTACTGTTTTGTTTTGCTTAAGCTTTAGCACTTGTGCTTGGTAATCTAGTTGGAGTTCTTTTGTTTAGAATTATATTTTTAGTTTTCTTTAGTTCTTATTTTCCCAGTCAAGTGGAAGTTTTCTCTTTAGCTACTCCAGTTTGTTGTCTTAGTAGTTTTCATTTAGTTTGCTTTCTATATATTTATTTCTCTAATTTTTGTTTCTCTTTTCATTGATCTTATCAGTTTAGTTTCACTTATCTTAATTGTTGCCTGATCTTGTCTTGTCTTGAGTCTTGTCTTGTGTTTCTCGTCTTGTATGTTGTTTCTGTCCTGTATCCTGAGTTCCCTGGCCACTGACTCTCAACTGCCTGGCTGCCTGGCTGCCTGACTGGTGCACCTATCCCCTGTGTCGAGCCTCTGGTTTCGTGAGCCTCTTCCTGGTGGCAAGACTGGAGCTACACCTGAGATCTACTTCAAGCTGCATGTTCCTAGTGTTCCTGCCTGGTCTTTCCTTCAGAGCTGCCTCTATTGCACTCACGTCATCGCCATCTAGCTGACGGTCTCAGTGGTCATCCATCCTGCCTGTCGTTGTCGTCTGCCTTGCCCTACTGTTTTTACTGTGATTCACGCTTCACTCCCTGCTGTTTCAAGTCTTCAGTCCTGTTAATAAAAACCTTGTCTGCTCATTTGCGTCTGGGTCCCATATCTTGCAGAACCCTAACAAGAAGCCTTAAATGAAACAAAATGAAATGATTTCTCTAACTGACTTCCGAAGCAACAGGCCTGCTCTCCAAATTCTCTCTGAACAGCTGGTCCAAATACCTGACCAGGAATAAGAATAAGTATCCCTGCGAGGTTTAGATAAGGATGATTGCACTATACAAACTTTGCGCTGCGCCTGAACCAACCACCCCATGGCTTTGACCCGCTATTGAACCCACCGATTGCAGAGCTACATTAACCAGATCGGTAGCTGCAGAGTCTGATGTTTGGCATTAGTCGGCAAATAATATGGGCAAGTGTATTAACAGTCTCCTGGACCCAGACAGTCCATTGAATTATATACATTACATTATTTACATATTAAGCTATCCATGCGTCTAGATTCCTTATTCAGACATATTGTCTTAATGCTTCTCCAGAGGCCACAATTAAAGATATCACTGCTCACTGGCTCAACTAGGGACATTGGTCCCAAGCCTATTGGTTCCAGTTCCTCCATTGGCGACAGCAGATGCAAAACACGTCATTAAAACACAACACTGAAACCTTGTTTAGAAGAAATTATCTCAATCACACATTCTGGCTTCAACCGCTAAATCTATTCTGAGATCCCTCAGGTCTTTCTATTAATCAGAGCAGGAGTGAAATTATAGCGGTTAATACTTTGGATATTACTGATATATAGTAGGGGTTAGCAGGGAACAACTTTATGCTGGGCTAGTTGTAACAGACATGCGCTGCACCCGGAATCGAATACTTCCCTACTATACGTGAAAAACAGTACAGCAACAGAGTAGTATGTCAGAATATATAGATTTCTGGGGGGAAAAGGCGAAAAATACCCAGATGAGCAGCTTCTAACAGCGAGATTCTGAAGTGCACATTCAATAGGCACTTTGCTCTGTCCCAAATGGCACCCTAAACACTCATGGTCTTCCGCACTTTCATGACGTAAATTCTCTTTGACTGTCTGGAAGAAGTCTGGGAGAGGAGTTGAGAACATAGACAGTAAAAAAAATGGACACAGCGACCCCATAGACTTCAACGGAGAAAAGTGAAGTCAATTAGAAGCACTCACTTCCTGATGGCTGAGCGAACTGCGCAGGCTCACACTGAGCTTGACGACGTAGATGTAACGTGAGCAACCTGTCTGACAGTTGTAAGTCTTCTAGTAGCTGTGCCAAGAGGAATCGGAATCATTCCCTTCCGAATCTTGCAGAGACGGAGAGCGTGAGTATGAGCTGTCCATGAGCTAGCAGCAGGAGCAACTTTATGACTCTCTATGGGCTTCTCCCTTGACTTTATGCCTCCAAGTCCCCCCGATTGCCCGCGAGCTTCTCCTCCTGTCTCTAAGGTAATTTCTGTACTGTGCGACAGAGAGTCCCGTGGTTATGATGCAATCGTTAGCCTATTTTTACAAAAAATGACTTCTACGGGCCATAACGTAAGATACAAGGTAATGGAGCCTTTTATACATTGTCGTGTTTCTTTAGAAATAAACAATGGACAAATGGAGTCTTTGGACGCCTCAGATGTAAAGTTATTCGCTGTCAAAGTGACGCCAAAATGAATGGGAGTCAATGGAATGCTAACAGCAGGTGATGGTCTGCTACAATGGCGGCCCCCAGGGAGGCTTCAGTTTCCGGCTGATGGATTACCCCCTTGGGAAGAAGTCTGGGAGAGGAGTTGTGAATGGCAGTGACGCGGCAATGCAACTGATGCTGGTAGGTCATGTGATAGTAACATCATTGCGGATGTAGTACGTCCAAATTTCATATTCATAGAGTCACGTAGTAAGTTCAAATTCAAATGTAGTACCTACTTAGATGTGATTTAGGACGCACAGGTGGTTTAAAGGCTATGAGACCTTATTGTTAAGTGTTAACCGATACTTCTTTAATGCTTAGCTAACTGGCAGAAGACACTAGCCAGTTTTAAATCAGTTGTGTGGAGATACTGAGATACAATGTGCTTTGCTATTATAATTCTGCTATTCTATGACATTAGATGAATAACTTTAATGAATTTAATTGAGAAACAGGTGAATAAAGACTGAGTCAATGTTTATTTGAAGAAATGTAAAGCATTCTGGGTCTAAAAATGTGATTATTTTATATGAAAATGTTAATAATTTTATTTTTGTGACAAAATGTTTTAGTTGATTAATTGATTTTTTTTTTTTTTTTAGATCACATTTTAAGCTGCCATATGGATATGCCATATGTTAAAATGTGCCCCACTGTGGCATGATGTCACATTTTACTCCCGTTCTTTCAGGATAAATAAAGAAAAAAAGTATACACTGTAATATAGAAACAAGACCACATGTTTGTACCATATGTGAAATTATTGTTCAAAAAAATGAATACTCTGAACCCCGATTAGATTTACACAAAGTGAGAAAGTGTTAGGTTGTGCCTCACTCCCTAACTATCAATAATGTATTTAAAATGAACTAGATAAAGCATTATTTAACTTAAAATTACTTATGTGGTTTTATATACCCAATTTGGTTTTTAATTTTTTGCTTTCCTCTGATTGTAAATATAGTAAACTTCCCGTTAACTAGCTCATTTTCACAAGAAACCATATGCCTAGAAAATAACTTTTTAAAACACATTTTCCCCTATTTTCACTATCCAAGAACAAAGCTATGTTTTAAGAAAAACTCTTATGATGTGGTGTTTAGCCTACATCCTGGATACGAAGTGCAGTGCAGCAATATTCATATTTGTGCCCTCCAAAAGCACTAAGTGCATTTCATAAAATAATCGCAAAAGATAGACCCAATGTATAGTTTTAGGAACTTTAAAAAGACGTTGAAAAAAAAAAAAAGGCTACACACTGCAGGGGAAATTATTATTTATTTTTTAAGATGTATTTCGTGCTAACTGTCATTCAAGGCAAAACACATTTATATTACAATAAAAAAAAATTAAATAATGCAATTTAAAAAGTTAACTGTTTACAAATCACATATAAACTTGGTAGAATTCACTAGCTTTTCAAAGTATTTAATTGCTTATTTTTATGAATCCTATTAAGAATACAAATTTTCTAAGTATATCGAACTTTTACGAACAAAAGACGGCTCGTTCTTATCATACCTTTACCATGCGATTTGTTTTCCCATGAGACATTTGTCCCTTTCCGGCTGCCGTGGTACACGTCACAATGGAGGCCATGGGACGTCATAACTGTGGCCTCTGGTCGTCATCATCATATGCGTCTGGTAACAACACAGAACTGTGTTACATTTCTAAACTTAATTCACTATTGATAACGCGCTATTAAGTGAACGGGATTCTCTATGTTTTGCATATCTTCAGCGTCGTGTAGATTTATTCAGATGTTTATGAAGATCACAGCGCGGACTGCAGCACAGCAGCAGTTACTGAGGCGAATCTGAGATGGTCTTCCTGAAATAAGAGGATGGATGGAAGTGAGAAGATTGAATCTGATGATGTGGTGATCGTCGTGGAGAACGAGGCGGAGAGTAAGCGTGATGATGAAGACCAGGGCAGTGTGAGGATGATGATGATGATGGCTCTGATGGACGTGTGTCCCGTGTGTAAGCTCAGCTTCAGCAGCAGAGAACCGAAGCTTCTGCCCTGCCTGCACTCCTTCTGTAAGAGATGTTTACCTGCTCACAACACACCTGCCAGCACAGCCGGCAACGCCAACCAGTGTAAGAGTTTGCTTTCACTTTTACTCGTTCACAAAATTCATCTTAAGATGGCTGTAACAGAAGAGCTGATACAAAGAACCGAAGCTGCTGTAAAAGTTCAGGCTAGAACAAAGAAAATTCGATGTTTACAAAATGGTAGAAGCATGGCACTAAACACCATGGGTCCGATTCCCAGGGAATGTATGAGTGGTCAAATATGTGCTATGAATGCACTGTAAAGCTCTTTGAATAAGGTTGTCTGTTAAATGCATAAAGGTGATGTAAATATACAAAATTGACTAAAATATATAGGGTAAAATGACCCACCCCCACTTAATTTTTCTCTCAAAATATTCTCATTTCATTAGAATGTCAACATTTGGAAGATCTAGTCTGTCGAAACAGTTTTGAGGTTAAGTGATCTCATTTTGGAAACTCTGGACGTCTCTGGAAAATAGATCTGTGTCATTGCATTATTTTTTTGTAATGAGGGGTTTGTGGACACATTCATATCAGAAAAGATGAGGTGAGACCCATGGGGATAAGAAGGCCCTGAGTGGTATGCAGTTAAAAAAATACCATAGCAAAAACAACTAGCCTAGCTATATACATTTTTAAGCATTATTAAAGACAATTAAGCACTCCGTAATTAATAAAAAGAACAAATATACAAATTAGCAATCGCACAAATAAATACAACTGAACAAACATGCAGTCGAAGGTTTTAAGATTTTTAGGTACAGATTGTAATCTCTTTTACTAGGATTGTGCGTTATCATCGGTTATTATTCAACTAAATTGTCAAAACAAAAAATGTAAATATAAAAATGATTTAAAATTTTATATTTACACTAAAAAAATAATAATAATATAGGCCTATGTAATATATGATTATTCACTGCCCACAAGCCACACTGTTGTTAGTTTTGCACATTCGTGATGGAACACAAAATTATTGTTGGTTGTGAGTTCTGTTGCCAAAGATAACACACTAAAGTGAAAAGGTAGGGGTGAATCAAACGTTATAAACATTCAACACAATCAAATGTATTTTTAGTATGATTGTTTTAACCACATAAAAACAACCCTGCGTTACTTACCCCACAATTTAATACGACAAAAAAAGGGACATTTATGGGTAGTAATAGTGTGTTATATACCTGTTTGTGAACGTGAAATGTCTGCAAAGTTTTAAAGATCAAAGTGCACAATGAATAAAGTTATTTGTCTCCTACAAGAATCTATTCTGAACTGCCGAAACAAGTCACCAGCAATTCCAGTCTCCGTTCCTGTTACATACCTATTTGCATAATGGCAGCCTATCGTCTCCATTGGCTTCCCCCAAACGACGTCTACTGACCCGCCCTCAATCAGAGTAGAGTAGACCAATCACAACAGACTGGGCCATCTGACCAATCAGAGTAGAGTAGAGTAGAGTAGAGTAGAGTAGAGTAGAGTAGAGTAGAGTAGACCAGACCAGACCAGACCAGACCAATCACAACAGACTGGGCCATCTGTCCAAACAGAGCAGAGTAGACCAATCACAACAGACTGGGCCATCTGTCCAAACAGAGCAGAGTAGACCAATCACAACAGACGGGGCCATCTGTCCAATCAGAGCAGAGTAGACCAATCACAACAGACTGGGCCATCTGTCCAATCAGATCAGAGTAGACCAATCACAACACACTGAGCCATCTGTCCGAGCAGAGCAGAGTAGATCAATCACAACAGACAGGGCCGTCTGACCAATCAGAGCAGAGTAGACCAATCGTAGACCAATCACAACAGACGGGGCCGTCTGACCAATCAGAGCAGAGTAGACCAATCGTAGACCAATCACAACAGACGGGGCCATCTGTCCAATCAGAGCAGAGTAGACCAATCACAACAGACGGGGCCATCTGTCCAATCAGAGCAGAGTAGACCAATCCCAACAGACGGGGGCATCTGTCCAATCAGAGCAGAGTAGACCAATCACAACAGACTGGGCCATCTGTCCAATCAGATCAGAGTAGACCAATCACAACACACTGAGCAATCTGTCCAATCAGAGCAGAGTAGATCGATCACAACAGACAGGGCCGTCTGACCAATCAGAGCAGAGTAGACCAATCGTAGACCAATCACAACAGACAGGGCCGTCTGTCCAATCAGAGCAGAGTAGACCAATCACAACAGACGGGGCCATCTGTCCAATCAGAGCAGAGTAGACCAATCACAGCAGACGGGGCCATCTGTCCAATCAGAGCAGAGTAGACCAATCACAACAGACTGGGCCGTCTGTCCAATCAGAGCAGAGTAGACAAATCACAACAGACTGGGCCATCTGTCCAATCAGAGCAGAGTAGACCAATCACAACAGATTGGGCCGTCTGTCCAATCAGAGCAGAGTAGACAAATCACAACAGACTGGGCCATCTGACCAATCAGAGCAGAGTAGACCAATCGTAGACTAATCACAACAGACTGGGTCGTCTGACCAATCAGAGCAGAGTAGATAAATCACAACAGACGGGGCCATCTGTCCAATCAGAGCAGAGTAGACCAATCACAACAGACTGGGCCGTCTGTCCAATCAGAGCAGAGTAGACAAATCACAACAGACTGGGCCATCTGTCCAATCAGAGCAGAGTAGACCAATCACAACAGATTGGGCCGTCTGTCCAATCAGAGCAGAGTAGACAAATCACAACAGACTGGGCCATCTGACCAATCAGAGCAGAGTAGACCAATCGTAGACTAATCACAACAGACTGGGTCGTCTGACCAATCAGAGCAGAGTAGATAAATCACAACAGACGGGGCCATCTGTCCAATCAGAGCAGAGTAGACCAATCACAGCAGACTGGGCCGTCTGTCCAATCAGAGCAGAGTAGACAAATCACAACAGACTGGGCCATCTGACCAATCAGAGCAGAGTAGACCAATCGTAGACCAATCACAACAGACGGGGCCATCTCTCCAATCAGAGCAGAGTAGACCAATCACAACAGACGGGGCCATCTGTCCAATCAGAGCAGAGTAGACCAATCACAGCAGACGGGGCCATCTGTCCAATTAGAGCAGAGTAGACCAATCACAACAGACGGGGCCATCTGTCCAATCAGAGCAGAGTAGACCAATCACAGCAGACGGGGCCATCTGTCCAATCAGAGCAGAGCAGACCAATCACAACAGACTGGGCCATCTGACCAATCAGAGCAGAGTAGATCAATCACAACAGACAGGGCCGTCTGACCAATCAGAGCAGAGTAGACCAATCGTAGATCAATCACAACATACGGGGCCATCTGTCCAATCAGAGCAGAGTAGACCAATCACAACAGACGGGGCCATCTGTCCAATCAGAGCAGAGTAGACCAATCACAGCAGACGGGGCCATCTGTCCAATCAGAGCAGAGTAGACAAATCACAACAGACTGGGCCATCTGACCAATCAGAGCAAAGTAGATCAATCACAACAGACTGGGCCATCTGACCAATCAGAGCAGAGTAGACCAATCGTAGACCAATCACAACAGACTGGGTCGTCTGACCAATCAGAGCAGAGTAGATAAATCACAACAGACAGGGCCATCTGTCCATTCAGAGCAGAGTAGATCAATCCTAGACCAATCACAACAGACTGGGCCATCTGACCAATCAGAGCAGAGTAGATCAATCCTAGACCAATCACAACAGACTGGGCCATCTGATCAATCAGAGTAGATCAATCCTAGACCAATCACAACAGACAGGGCCATCTGTCCAATCAAAGCAGAGTAGACCAATCACAACAGACAGGGCTGTCTGACCAATCAGAGCAGAGTAGACCAATCACAACAGACTGTTAGGCTTTAGAGAGACTGAATCGTTTTGAATCGAAAAAAAGTTTTCTGAAAGAGGTGATGTGCAATGAATATTATGAGAAAATTAAAGTAAATTATTTTTTTTTTTTAACAAAGATTACGTTTTTAAGAACTTGCCATGGTTTTTAATAGTTTAAATAGTTATTTCTTTAATCGATCCAAATAATCACACAGGTTATAATTAATCGTGATTAATCGCACCTACAGTAACAATCATAGACATATGGTCATTAAATCTCCGAATTAATGAGGAAACAGCACAAGACACTTTTAATTTGTTGATATTTTAAATATTTGTTTACTGGCATATTTTAGTAGCCTACTATGAATTAAGGCCAGTGATACCAATATTGATAATGATGGCTCTATAAATGGATTTTATTTTAATATTTAATAATATCTCCTTGTTTGTATCTTGTGACATGCTGGTGAATATGGTGTCCTGCTCTTCTCTCTTGTCACATCAGTGAACATGATCCGCTGTCCAGTCTGTCAGCAGGAGTGTATGGATGTTGAGGTCTTGGATAACTTCTTTGTCAAGGATTCCGTGGAAGTGCCGAGCAGCACGATGGAAAAGAGCTGTCAGGTGTGTGTTTGCGCCTGTCAACGTTTATAACACCACAGTGCCAGGTTTATAACACCACAGGTTTTTAAAGCATTCGAGGCTGGTTGTGTTGTGATTGTGAAGAAATGAATGTGTGCGTTTATTCATTTTAGCCTTGATGATGAAATGAAATGCATTAGTTGACATTGGCTCTTTTGCTCTCAGCTCTGCGTGAGTTGCGACGATAACACAGAGGCCAGCGGTTTCTGCGTGGAGTGTGTGGAGTTTCTGTGCGTCACCTGCATCGATGCTCATCAGCGTGTGAAGTTCACCAGAGATCACACGGTCCGGCAAATAACCGAAATGTCCTCAGGTTTGACCCTGCTTCTTCTAGGTGTTTCTTAGTGTTGTGTGTTGATGGTGTTTTATATTTGAGTGCATGACGTATACATGTACACACATACATATAAACAACTTTTGTTAGATGCGATTCATCGATTTGACAGCAATATATATATATATATATATATATATATATATATATATATATATATATATATATACACACTCATCTAAAGGATTATTAGGAACACCTGTTCAATTTCTCATTAATGCAATTATCTAATCAACCAATCACATGGCAGTTGCTTCAATGCATTTAGGGGTGTGGTCCTGGTCAAGACAATCTCCTGAACTCCAAACCGAATGTCAGAATGGAAAAGAAAGGTGATTTAAGCAATTTTGAGCGTGGCATGGTTGTTGGTGCGGGCAGGTCTGAGTATTTCACAATCTGCTCAGTTACTGGGATTTTCACGCACAACCATTTCTAGGGTTTACAAAGAATGGTGTGAAAAGGGAAAAACATCCAGTAAGCGGCAGTCCTGTGGGCGAAAATGCCTTGTTGATGCTAGAGGTCAGAGCAGAGGAGAATGGGCCGACTGATTCAAGCTGATAAAAGAGCAACTTTGACTGAAATAACCACTCGTTACAACCGAGGTATGCAGCAAAGCATTTGTGAAGCCACAACACGCACAACCTTGAGGCGGATGGGCTACAACAGCAGAAGACCCCACCGGGTACCACTCATCTCCACTACAAATAGGAAAAAGAGGCTACAATTTGCAAGAACTCACCAAAATTGGACAGTTGAAGACTGGAAAAATGTTGCCTGGTCTGATGAGTCTCGATTTCTGTTGAGACATTCAGATGGTAGAGTCAGAATTTGGCGTAAACAGAATGAGAACATGGATCCATCATGCCTTGTTACCACTGTGCAGGCTGGTGGTGGTGGTGTAATGGTGTGGGGGATGTTTTCCTGGCACACTTTAGGCCCCTTAGTGCCAATTGGGCATCGTTTAAATGCCACGGCCTACCTGAACATTGTCTCTGACCATGTCCTTCCCTTTATGGCCACCATGTACCCATCCTCTGATGGCTACTCCCAGCAGGATAATGCACCATGTCACAAAGCTCGAATTTCAAATTGGTTTCTTGAACATGACAATGAGTTCACTGTACTAAAATGGCCCCCACAGTCACCAGATCTCAACCCAATAGAGCATCTTTGGGATGTGGTGGAACGGGAGCTTCGTGCCCTGGATGTGCATCCTACAAATCTCCATCAACTGCAAGATGCTATCCTATCAATATGGGCCAACATTTCTAAAGAATGCTTTCAGCACCTTGTTGAATCAATGCCACATAGAATTAAGGCAGTTCTGAAGGCGAAAGAGGGTCAAACATAGTATTAGTATGGTGTTCCTAATAATCCTTTAGGTGAGTGTATATATACATACATACATACATACATAGACATACAGTGTTGTGAAATCGTATATTAGTATTTACCTCAGCTTGTGGAAAAGCAACTTGTGATGCTACATGTGGATTTCTCTTCATTAACTGTGTTTGTCAGTATATTATAAAGATACAAAACTGATTTCAGCATTTCAGTTGGCTGGCGGGCTAGACTAACATTAATATATCAGTTAATGAAATACATTTTTTTATTTCCTGTAAACTAAATGTGTAAATCCTAAAATGTTGCTACTGTATTTTTTCACTGTAAAGTTCTGGCAACCAGAGTTAGTAAAACACACTGTTGGTAAATTCTCATCTGCTGACTGGGAGCAACCCTCTCTTCACCCGTGACTGGTTATAATGTTTTGGCTCATCAGTATACACTCACCGGCCACTTTATTAGGTACCCCATGCTAGTAACGGGTTGGACCCCCTTTTGCCTTCAGAACTGCCTCAATTCTTCGTGGCATAGATTCAACAAGGTGCTGGAAGCATTCCTCAGGGAGTTTGGTCCATATTGACATGATGGCATCACACAGTTGCCGCAGATTTGTCGGCTGCACATCCATGATGCGAATCTCCCGTTCCACCACATCCCAAAGATGCTCTATTGGGTTGAGATCTGGTGACTGTGGAGGCCATTTTAGTACAGTGAACTCATTGTCATGTTCAAGAAACCAATTTGAAATGATTAGAGCTTTGTGACATGGTGGAAGTAGCCATCAGAGGATGGGTACATGGTGGCCATAAAGGGATGGACATGGTCAGAAACAATGCTCAGGTAGGCCGTGGCATTTAAACGATGCCCAATTGGCACTAAGGGGCCTAAAGTGTGCCAGGAAAACATCCCCCACACCATTACACCACCACCACCAGCCTGCACAGTGGTAACAAGGCATGATGGTTCCATGTTCTCATTCTGTTTACGCCAAATTCTGACTCTAACATCTGAATGTCTCAACAGAAATCGAGACTCATCAGACCAGGCAACATTTTTCCAGTCTTCAACTGTTCAATTTTGGTGAGCTCTTGCAAATTGTAGCCTCTTTTTCCTATTTGTAGTGGAGATGAGTGGTACCCGGTGGAGTCTTCTGCTGTTGTAGCCCATCCGCCTCAAGGTTGTGCGTGTTGTGGCTTCACAAATGCTTTGCTGCATACCTCGGTTGTAACGAGTGGTTATTTCAGTCACTGTTGCCCTTCTATCAGCTCGAACCAGTCTGGCCATTCTCCTCTGACCTCTGGCATCAACAAGGCATTTCCGCCCACAGAACTGCCGCTCACTGGATGTTTTTTCTTTTTCGGACCATTCTCTGTAAACCCTAGAGATGGTTGTGCGTGAAAATCCCAGTAGATTAGCAGTTTCTGAAATACTCAGACCAGCCCTTCTGGCACCAACAATCATGCCACGTTCAAAGTCACTCAAATCACCTTTCTTCCCCATACTGATGCTCGGTTTGAACTGCAGGAGATTGTCTTGACCATGTCTACATGCCTAAATGCACTGAGTTGCCACCATGTGATTGGCTGCTTAGAAATTAAGTGTTAACGAGCAGTTGGACAGGTGTACCTAATAAAGTGGCCGGTGAGTGTATGTATATATACATACATACAGTGTGTGACTTGAGTGTCCAAATACACTTTCTCTTCCCGTTCGTTCACAGAGGCGATGGGCGCTTCCACACAGAAGCCCGTCTTCTGCGACATCCACAGACAAGAGCCGTTAAAGCTGTTCTGTGAAACCTGCGACCGCCTCACCTGCAGAGACTGTCAGCTTCTCAAACACAAGGACCATAAGTACGGCCCACATTCATGTCACGTGTACAGTGACTTTATAGCTGTAGTAAGAAATCATTCATGGAATGCTAATCACACTAGTCTCATATTAACATGCATAATGTCTTCAACCCTGCTCCTGAGGACCCACTGCCCTGAAAAGTTGTTTCCAACCTGATTCAGCACCACGTGCCTGTTATTTTCAAGCAATCCTGAAGACCTTGAGTAGCTACTTAAGGTGCTTTTATAGACAGGGTCAATTTTCACAAAATCAGAACCCCGAAGGCATTTTGTGATTATTTATATTGTAAAACATTTCTAAGGGTTTTAAGGGGTGCTGAATCCAAATCTGCTGTATATGAAGCTCAAAAATTTCAAGAATTTAAGAATCGATATCGGTTTGTAAAAATGAAAATCGATTAAAATCGAGAAATCAATATTTTTTACCCAGCTTTAATAGATAGATAGATAGAAACGTTATTGATCCCCTTGTGATGTTTATGAAAACATGTCACATTATGAAAATATACACTGGACATGACTTTACCTGTTAGCTGTCTTATGTTTCCGATCAGCCGTTCTGAGAAGTGTGAGAAAGGCTACCCTTGGGGGTGGGGTGATATTGGGGAGTGCATTACAGCACATTTGACACATTTGACCTCAAAACAAAATACAAACTAAGTAAAAGAAGCCTGATAATATTAATAATAATAACTGAATTAATAATGAGTTAATAATAGTTCGTAGTTAAAAACAACTATTTTTGCAATATCTAAGCAGTTTCTTCACATTACATCTCAAATCTGAATATGGCATTGAAATGCCCATGTAGCAAAACTTACAAAAGCACATTTATTTCATGTTTGTACCTTGTTTAGTCAAAAAGATATACTGAAAAATAGATTTCAGCCTGACGGTGGCGGATGAATGACAAAATGAATTAAAAATTCATTTTGAATTTCTCAATTTTGAGGCATTTTGGGAAATTTTTGAGCTTCATATACAGCAGATTTGGATTCAGCACCCCTTAATACCCCTAGAAATGTTGTACAATATAAATAATCACAAAATGCCTCCAGCACTTTAAATAAGCACATTTTAAGAAATTCTGCCTAGTCTATTAGGGGCTTTCGCACCGGAGGAACCTTTTCATAGTTCCTAAAACTGCTGGCGGAAGTACCCGGATTTTGGCGTGTTCGCACCGCAGGAACTAGGAATCATTTTAGTTCTAGGAACTCCTTTTGGAGGAACTAATTTATCTCCTACTTCAGAGTCGAGTCTAAACCAGCACTATAGGAACTATCCGTGACGTTAGTGTACGCTGATTGGCCGAACGCACGCGAAACACCAGCACCTGCCATTTTTGAAAAAGCCTGTGTAAAAACAGATTATAGTCTATATATTTACTCCACAATCTAACTCTACGAACATGGAAAACAGTGATAGATGAGCCTCTAAACCTTTACACCGTGTCCTAACTACACGCGACGCCGCAACACGCGATAAAAGGTATATTTTCCATGTTAATCAGAGTTTTTGTCCTAACCAGACGCGACGGCGACACGCGAAGTTTCTAATTTAGAAACGGTTCCTATTTCTGCAACGTCGCGGCTGACAGATCCGCCCACACAGAGATCTCATTGGATCCCATTTACCTCAGATTTTGAAAGCGTATAATATAGCGTTCAAACTGAATTCTATGCAAACATACAACTGTACTTCATAACAAAATTAGTCAATGAGTATATTTTGTTAATGTTTTGATTTTTAAAGTAACAACAGGTAACTTTTCAGCCTTCATAATATATTTCCAAGTCTCTTGTGATGGTACATCGACTTACAATAGGTTGAATGACACGTCTGCCATAGCCTGACGGGGTCTGTAGCGTTTTTAATCGTACTTTTAAACTTCGGGTTTCGGGTAGTAACCGGCGAACAAAGAGAACTACAAAATTCGACTGCTTTACGGCATATACGTCACTTCCACCACCACCCCCACTTCCTTAAAATCGGACTTGCGAGCCAAATGTTATAGTCATGGCCGAAGCAGCACAGAAAAACAAGAAAGCAAAGGTTTTATCGGAGCAAAGCAAAAAGAGAAAAAGAGAAAATGATCGCGTTAAAGGCAGAACGAGGATCAACATTGCAGAGCTGCCAACTCTCACGCATTGGCCGTGAGACACCCGCTTTTGATTGGTTTCACACGCTCACACGCCACACACCCGGTTTCTCACGCTAAATTGTCAACCCGGTCGGTCAAATGCCTGAAAGATGAGTTTATCTATAGATCTACCTGTTGAGCCACTCGTGATCGACAAGTTATACCGCAAATTAGTTCAAATCTCCCGGAATCTAGAGCGAGCGCGCACGCGAGACAGAGACTGTGCTGCAACGCGCGCGGACGCCAGAGAGAGAAAGCGAGCGAGAGACCTTGCGTGTGCAGGGAGCATCGAACCCCCCATCGAAAAAAGAATGCCTCTCTCTAACCTCTCTAATTCGCTAGAGTAGTAGCGAATTATCAATCTGGTAGCTAGTAAACGATATTCTAGTTTTTGATGGTTAGCTATCGCGATAGTATTCTCGTTCTGATTTGAACTTTGCAATCGATGAAATGCCAATAGCAAATGTTTGACCTAAAAAGTGTAGTCTACTCAACATGTACAAAGAAAGGAGGAAGATTATTAATAAAATCATATTTTAGGATACCTAACATGTCTGTGATATTTGTTTATTTGTCTTGCCTCAAGCTATAATGCAAATCGATTTGTAAAATTTGCAGATTCATTTATGGTAGCTTGATATTATAATATTGACGATATATGGTTATTATCAACTACTCAAACATTGCATTGAAGTATCATATAGATTCAGTAAAACGGTAACCAATAGACTAGGCTACTATAATGACGCTGGCTTGTAAACGCGATCATTTGTCGTTATAAAAAAAATAAAACACATGAAATTATATTCATATGACATGCTGAAATATATGCCACTGTACCTGGGATGAAGACATTTCACACACGCGAGAACACCTGCATGTGACCTCCTCCTACAGTGTTCAGGGCTATCATGGTTGTCAACAAATGCACGTGCATGTAGGATGACAGTTTACGACAGTAGTAGAGGACAATACTGTTTCCCAACTGTAGGGGGAGCCCGAGAGCAAAAAACGACCTGTTGTTACTTTAATAATGTTATTTCTTGATTTGATTATGTCCTTACCCATTTCCAATGCGAGTGCGGGCCAGCAGTGCGCTTTCACAGAGAGACTCCGCCCACACGCTGTTCTGAATGGCTGTGATTTTTGATTGACGTGTGCCGTCTCAGTCGCGTCGCGTCTAGTGTGGACAGACACACCTGCTGTCGCTGGAATTTTATCGCGTAGCGTGTAGTTAGGACACGGTGTTACGCTATGGTGAAAATCCAACGCAACTTTGAGGGAACCAAGAGAAACATGATTATGTATTTCTGCTCAGCTAGCAACACTGGACATCAACCACACGGCATACGCTAATACCTTTTCATATACTGTGTAATTATGTTTAACAGTTCTATCTAATATCGTATGCAGTGGTCAGTTGTGTTAAGTCCCGGTCTAGGAACAGCGTGGAGTATTATTTTTAAAAATAATAGCCACCCGTTTCATACAAGATAGTGGCATTTTTCTATTTACAGATTACCTTTTAATACCAACACAGTAAATAGAGAAACGTCACTATCCTGTGGGAGTTTTTTTCCTTTTCATTATTATTGATTACCTTTTAATACCGGCACGATAGTAACAATACTAGCAACAATAACCAAAGAAAAGATGAAGGGAAAAACGTTAAGCATGAGTACCAGGCTACTCCTCTTCTGTTCAACTTTACTTTGCAACAACAGTTCGGGAAGGACGCTGACACAAACACATCCTCCCAGCAGAACACCCACACACTTGTTTTCAGTCTTGCGCAGAAGCATGTTTTTAAAGGATAAGTTCACTTCAGAATGAACATTTCCTGATAATTTACTCACCCCCACGTCATTCAAGATATTCATGTCTTTCTTTCTTCAGTCGAAAAAGAAATGAAGGTTTTTGAGGAAAACATTCCAGGATCTTTCTCCATATAGTGGACTTCAACAGGAACCAACGGTTTGAAGGTCCAAATTGCAGTTTAAATGCAGCTTCAAAGGCTCTACACGATCCCAGCCCAGGAATAAGGGTCTTATCTAGACAAACCATCGGCCATTTTCTATAAAAATAAAACATTTATATTCTTTTAAACCACAAATGCTCGTCTTGGACTAGCTGTGATGCGCCACGCATTATGCAATCACGTTGAAAGGTCACGCGTGACGTAGGCGCAAGTAACGACCTAGTGTTTACAAAGCGAACGTGCAAAGACTAAGTCAAACGCCATTTACAAAATAAATAAAAGGTAAAACAACGATGTCGGACGATTGTGAAGTTGGAGGAGAAAATTAGATTTTCACCCTTCTCTACATTTTCCGCCTACGTCAGGTTACCGTCTGACCTTTTCAACGTGATTACGTAATGCGCGAAGTCGTGGACCTGCAAGATGAACATTTGTGGTTAAAAACTATATAATTTTTTTAGTTTTTATAGAAAATGGCCGATGGTTTGTCTAAATAAGACCCTTATTCCTGGGCTGGGATCGTGTAGAGCCTTTGAAGCTGCATTTAAACTGCAATTTGGACCTTCAAACCGTTGGTTCCTGTTGAAGTCCACTATATGGAGAAAGAACCTGGAATGTTTTCCTCAAAAACCTTAATTTCTTTTTTTTGCCTGAAGAAAGAAAGACATGAATATCTTGAATGACTTGGGGATGAGTAAACGATTTTTAATTCTGAAATGAACTACTCCTTTAAAAGGTGTGATGCCAACAGTGGAGCAGTTGAGAGAGAAAAACTCGAGAGAGAAAAGAAAACATATCCACAAACCACAGTTTAATACGTATACGTATACCATATACGTCCGAGGGCGTAACAGGTGGTACAGCAGTCATGTGGTACAAGTAGGAGCTCTTAGAAAACTCCCATCTTACAAGCTGTAATTATGAGCTCTACGATGACGTGAATGCTTTTTACAAGTTGAAATCTCGTAATTACAGCAATTTCAACATGGTGTGAAGCACATTGCTCATGTTGGGTCCCCAGGGTTGAAGACCTCCGTTTAAAGGGATAGTTCACCAAAAATACATTTACTTGTTCCAAAACTGTGTGACTTCCTTTCTTCTGTCGAACATAATTAACATTTTTGGGTCATCTGAAAGTCTTTAGGCTGTACTTCTGAAGCAGTGTGCATTTTAATGTCTGTCTATGTTCAGTGTTTTGCCCTATAGATGTTTATTGCTTTAACATAAATGCAAATATAACTGACATCATCAGTCTCTGTAATGACCGAACACAGCTGCTAATACAGAATCTTCCAATAGTTACCAATTTCTAGAAGATGCGTATAAGAACCACAAGGAACATCTGGAAAATATGACCTGCCAACTTCAAGAAAAGAAGAAAGCTATAGAGGATGTCTCTAATACCATAAACAATGGGTATGTTTTATGTTATACATGATTTTTTTTATTTTTTTTTATGTGTATTTAAAAAATGTAAAGCCAGGGTTACCTACTCTCATGGGAACTGCAGTGGGTTTGTGAGTTTATATAAAGCTAATAAAAACGATTGTAACGTCAAAATAAATAAATGGGGCTGCACAATTGATCAAAATAGAACTGAAACAGTGATCTCTTATCTTATCAAATCAAAGGCTGCCATTTAATGCAAGAAGTATATAGTTGTGCTGCATATTTCAGAGTGAAGAGCGGCAGTTTACATGCGTACAGCTTATAATAACATGTTTTCAGAGCGACTAATGAATGCTGTATCTCACGACCTCCATCTTACAAGCACTGAGTTAAACGCAGAGTGCGCTAGGTTTACTTTTTGTAAATTCTCATACTTTCCAATGTTTTTGTTGACATAAGTTTACAGCACTTGACCAGTACTCCAAAAAAAAAAAAAAAGTGTAAGGATTTGCTGTTAAAAAAATCAAGGGTTTGATCATATGCAAGTCAAGAATTTAAGACATAAATATTTGTATTGTAACTTGTACAAATCCGTAAATTACATGAAGTAGAATATATAGATATATATGTGAAACCTGTTCATTTTTATTTATTTTAATGGTCGATTTTTTTCTTTTTTTTGTCAGTCTTCAGCAAGTGGATGAAAATCGCAAGACCGTGGCTAATGAGATTAAAAAGTCCATCTGCAATCTCATCATGGAGATCAACAGGAAGGGGAAGTTATTAGTGAATCAACTTGAGGTACTAGTGTCCAATATTTCACATCATCATCAAGAGCAGTGCTTCCAACTGGTTGGTCTCAGTAATAAAATTATACTACATAATTGACATAACAATATTGATAGGCTTATCAACCTTAAAGGGTTAGTTCACCCAAAAATGGAAATACTGTCATCTATTACTCGCCCTCATGTTGTTCCAAACCCGTAAGACTTTCGTTCATCTTCGGAACACAAATTAAGATATTTTTGATGAAATCTGAGAGCTTTCTGTCCCTCCATTGACAGCTACGCAACTACCACTTTGAGGCTTCAAAAAGTTTATAAAGAGATCGGAAAGCGATCCAAACAGTCCATATGAATTGAGCGGTTTAGTCCCAATTTTCTGAAGAGACTCGATCGCTTTACATGATGAACAGATTGAATTGAGGCTTTTAATCACATTTAAACATCGATCAGCAAACATGAACAGAAGCTCAACCGAACTTGATGTGTAAATATGCTTCAGCTTCTGTTTATCTCAACTGATGTGTGTTGATAAATGTTCATATGTGAATAAAAGCCTAAATTAAATCTCTTCAGAAGATTTTGACTAAACCGCTAGATTCATATGGAATAGTTTTACGATCTTTTTATGAACTTTTTGAAGCGTCAAAGTGGTAGTTGTGGCTGTCAATGGAGGGACAGAAAGCTCTCAGATTTCATCAAAAATATCTTCATTTGTTTTGAAGATGAACACGACATAAGGGTGAGTAATAGACGACAGAATACAAATTTTTGGGTGAACCATCCCTTCAAATCACTTAGTAGAAGCTGGTCAAATAAAAATAGACTACATTAGCTTCCCTTGCAGCAAAACACATGCTATCAATATGATATACAATTTTGGGAATTGTTTTGGGGTTGCCATTTGATGTCTGATGTCCAATGTCAAGTCTATGTGCTGGAGCAAAACCAGTTGAGAAGCATCGCTGTCACATTTGATTGGTGTAGAGTACAATAGCTATGTTTCCACTCACCTATTTTGATGCGCATTTTTGGATATCGTATAAAAAAAAACACTAAATGGAAACGTCAGGATGTGGAAAAGTTATAAAAATGCACAGACAATTTATTTAATTGAGGCGCTAGACAACATGAAAGCATTTATTGCGAAGTCATTTATATGATGTAGGAAAAAAGAGCCACAGTTTCTTCCCCGATTGCAGCAACTTCCATTTTTGTTACAGATATTTTGTGCTAATTTCCAAGGAAGTGACAATTATGTTCTCTTAAAAACATGGGATGGAAACTTTTTTTATACGATATTCCAATTTTGCCCACAAGTTAAATTCGCAACTTTGAATATAACATACTAGTCTAGTGTTACATAAGGTAATAAAACGTAAAATACATGTTTATTTAGGCCATCACGAAGGACCATGAAACCCTCCTGAAGAAGCAGCAACAGGATGTGACGTCACTCTCCACACATCTCGAACATGTGATTAACTTCACAAAGTGGGCCACAGCCAGTAACAGTGGAACGGCCCTCCTGTACTGCAAGCGGTTGGTAAGTGTCCTTCTCTTGTCATGACGGGTATAAAGTGAAACGTGTAAAAAAAAATATGGCATCTCTTCTGTGTTTTTTTTTATTATTAATCTAAATTTTGAGTTTGAATGTCAAGTGATAATCTCAGTTATCTCAAATAAACACGAATTACGTAGTGTAATTATTATGACTGGTCTGGTCATCCTGCTGTTTGGCTGATGGTCTCTCACATTTCTTTTCCCCTCTTAGATAACATGTCAAATCCAGTACCTCATGCGAGCAAAGTGCAACATCTCGTATGTTCCCCAGAGCTTGGTTCGGTTCCAGTGTCGATCTGCTTTTTGGGCATCAAATGTGGATCTTGGTAAGACGCTTACAGAATCAGTTCACAGACATTCGTGGCAGTCGTTTTCAACCAGTGTTTTTTTGTTGTTGTTTCTTTTCACCTACTTTTGGCATTTTTTAAATTAATATTCGTTAGGCGAAAAGAAAAGCCATGTCAGTACAATAAGTATTCAATAACCATTCACAGCAAAACAAAACTTAATGAGAGAAAGAAAATAAATAAAGTGCTGAAATTACCATCTGCTATACAAGTCTTCTGAAATTTTGTAATATTGTAGCCTTGTGATGAACAGAGCTAATTAAGTTATTATACACTGAAAATCGCTCATCACAATATTCAGATTTGGCTTCCAAAAACATAATTTTACATAGCGATGCACCGAAATTTCGGCAACCGAAATGTTTTGTTATAGCCAAAACTGAAATCATTGAGCAAAACAGTGACGTTGCTCACAAAACAGTGCTTCTCCGATGGCACGTTTCATAGTGTTTCGCACGTTGGCCCGTTTCGCATGTTTTGTAGCTTATGCACAATGTAAATCCACAGGTAAACATGTCAGAAGTAGGGCTTGGTAATGAGTTTGATACTTTTTAGGCACTGACCGAATTGACTACCATCAAAATCAAAAAATGTGTTGTTGTATGGTATCAAATTTCGATTGCTAAGGCAGGGCTCCAGACTAACTTTTTTCACCTCCGTCCTGAAACCGTCCTGATAAACAATTTGAACCGTCCTAAAGTGAATGTCAACCGTCCCAAAATGAAAATGTTGTTTCTGTACTTTATTAATATCACCTATAGTTGTTAGTTGTTAGTCACATAAAAACACCATTAAAGTGTTTATGATATATATTATATTTAGTTAGCTCCATTCAAAGTAGTTATCTGTAAATAGGTAAAAAATCCAGAACAAATCTTTTTTTTTTCTTTTTTTTTCTTTACATGGTTGGATTAAACAACAAATACATACTGGTGACTACATCTCAAAGTGGTAATGTGTCATAGCTGAACATCTGGAAATGTGTTATTAAGAGAAAGGGCTTTAAAAAGTGTAATATGACTTCTCTAGAACACAGAATTTGGGGAAAAATCTGTGTCTCCGTCTCAGTCTTTGTACTGACTGAGGTCTTTGTGCCGGAGAAAACATTAACCTTTTAATATGAATGATTTTAAAGTTTGAACATGCAATACAGATGCAGATTTAACTACTGTGACTTAAAAAATATCTTAATTTAATAAAACCACTTTTCCTAGAATAGAACAGTCTTCTTTCCAATTAATGATATATGCATTCTTTTTAACTTGCATACATCATTCTTTATTTTTTCAAGCAGCAGACATATTTATTTGTATGAATTAAATATAATGAATCCTTATTAAAGCTATTAACGAGCAGTGAATGCTTTTCTCTTTTTCTTTTGTTGCTTGATCAATATTAAGGACACAGACCGCATTAGGTTTATTGCCCACTGTCACTTTAAGACATCGGATCATGTCCAATGACATGCTGCTGATCCAAATCCACTGATGCACATCCGATACACTCTCAACTGTTTAAGACATAACCGACATAGTTTAAGTTAAGGCTACTCTCCAAAACGTACATTTAGAAATAATGTTGTGTGTTTTTTGTCCATTCAGACACGAAAGAGAGCTCAATCAGTCCTCGCGCACAGCGGACGCTTCGGTCGCGTGTGCGCGCACAGAAAACCGCACCGAATAGAGCTTTTTTTTTTGCGTCGTCACTCTTATTCAGATGTGCGCTCATGTACGCTCTACTCATTCTCCCAGACGTTTACATTTTTTAACGTTTTATGAGACATGCAGTGCATGCCAACTCGTGTGCCGCTGGGTAGATCAGCACGTTACAGTACAAATGTGCGCATCTACCACAAACGCAGGACATCTCTGACTGGATCTTTTCCTAAATCGTCACTGTAGCAAGGTTCAGGGAAGAAGGAGGCGGGAACCGGAGAACAATCAAAATAAAACTTTATTTTAAATGAAATAAACACAATACCTGCCAGCAGTCCCTCACGGAACTGCTGGCTACCCAAAATAAAATATAACTACCTGCCAGCAGCCCCTCACGGACGACTGCTGGCTACCAAAATAAAATAAAACAAAACACAAACAAAAGCAGGCCTGTTCCTCTCTCGATCATCCACTCCGTCGCTCCTCCTTTATGCTTCCGCTCCTCCGTGAGAGATGCGAGACCGGTGTGCTTCACAGGTGCTGCTCATTAGCAATCGCACCACCGGCCTCGCGACGTTCTCTCACGTCCCTCGGCCGTCCTGCTCACCACAGTCACTATCTAACATTTTTGTCTATTTTTTATTCATTGAATATCCGTTGTTTAACCAGCGCAACATATTTGCGATGTCATTAAGCCATTTGATAGATGTACCGCGGAACAAGTCTCCGGGTGAGTAGCCGGCCAGTAACTATAGTAACAGCATGAGAAGACGCGCTCCGTTGTAGTCAGCGCTTGGTCGGTTAATTTTGGCATTTGGCATAAGTAAGTTAGCCTAATAGGCTAGTAATAAATGAACACACATACAAAAATGTTTTTCGTCCTGGAAAATATTTCTGTTCGTCCTAAACACATTTTCTATCGTCCCCAGGACGATAGGACGCCGTTAGTCTCGAGCCCTGGCTAAGGGGTTAATCTCGTCAACATCAATGAGTAACGGTATCGATATCGAAAAGTTTTGAACGATACCCAGCCCTAGCCACCAGTGTGGAAACTAAGTTTGGGTTGACAATATTGATGTCTCCTTTTTAATCGATCCATTTTGATGAGTTGAGAACTTTTAGTCTATGCTGTTTTTAGTTGATGCATAAACAATACTTCTCTAAATTAGAGATTATTGTTTTTTTTATTGGTTGCCATCCAATAATCGCAATAAGCATGGGTACTTTTGATATGAAACGCATTTGGTCAATTTTAAAACAAAATCAAACAATAAATGTCATTTTGACACCTTTTAATGTGGCGTGACAGATCGCTGTAGTCATCTCTTCCTCTTTACTACTAGTTGCAGCACGAAATAAACATGAAATGAACATCATGTTGAAAGATACAGTACAACTTACTGAAATGTATCATGTCATTAATTTAAAGTGTCATAAAATCCCTCTGTTTAAGCACTGGTCATTTTTGAATAAGACTGAAGAAATGGCCGTGTAAAGCTGAAGAAAGTGGGAGTGTGGAGGGTGGGAAGAGGGGAAAAACAACCAATGAAACACAGACCTGCAACACACTCATTATACTGACAAATCAATAATAATATATGCACGGAGAAAGAAAAATAAACAACAGAGTTGAGGGCACCTTGATGTATTTTAAAAAAATAAACCTATGACAACAAACTCTTATCATTAGAGACTATCATGAATGTTTTGATAATAATTCTTAGAAATATCAACAAATCAGCATTATAACTTGTGGAGAATTTAAATGTGGAAGAACATTTAAAAAGACATGTTGTGAAGAGCTTATATACTGAACTGGCAGCCAATGGAGAGAGGATAGCACTGGTAATGCGATCTCATGCATAATACAGCACACTGATGGGAATAAAAGAGTTCATTCTCATGAATAATGCAGAGAAGAGCTCAGAAAATTACGTTGGTTCAACTTTGCTTTTTAAACCAAAAGAAATGAAAAAGCTGCAAAAAGCCACTTTACCCTTAATACATAATGAGTGTTATTATTGGTTTCATTGATGTGCAACCTGTATGTTAACAAAAAAATGTGTTATAGGGTTTCATGACCATTTAAAAGTTCCCTCTAGGAATTCCGTTTTTGTCAAACAGCGACCCCTAGAGTCACTGTGGAATACTTGTACTGTCGTAAATAACGAGTGGAAATAAGGTGTGGCCCCTTTAAGAGCTGCACGCGCCGGGTTATTTATGTTTGATGCTCATTCTTATCCTATTTTAAGTGAAAGCCTGACCGAGTGAGACTCTTGTCCGGTTTTCTCACGCGGACAGTTTTCCTTGACTCTTCCGAGCCTGTGGTCACGTGACGGTCGTAAAGCGATACGTTCTCCAGGCATTCTCCAGGTCACATAACCTGGCCAAAGATGGTCCGTCTTCTCCAAACTTACATAAGCGGTATTTCAAGAGGGCAGCCCCGCTCGGAGCATTGATAGTGTCAAGCGCTGTATATTGGCCTGAGGAATCATTTAAAATAACTCATATGGGTCAAATCTTTTGGCCAAAAGTTACACAGTGTGCCTTTAAAGGTGCAGTATGTTATTTCTCAAAGTCGTTGCTGAACATTGTTGATATTTGAAATCAACCCAAGCAAACACAACACTCTTTAATTGCTCCGCCTCCGAAGCTCACCCCTCCAATCCCAACCGCCGTGCTCGGAGTCGGTCTTGAACCCTGATTGCTGGCATGCAGGGTTGGGTGCACCAACAAGGACGTTAAAGAGTAAACACCGCATTCTCTAGCAGTCATCAGCCTGCACAACTCCGTTACACACGCAATCCAAGAGTGGATGTCTGTTTATCGTAGCAAAAGCGCAACAAAATAATGCTAATTGAAAACTTAAGCATGTTTACACCTGAATTTAGCATCGTCCACTTGTGATCGACCAAAACACATCTTAATACCAGGTGTAAACAGGACCCTAGTGTAATCTGTCAAAATAATGCGCAACCAGTCTGACCATTCTCTCTCTGCGATCTCCTCTCCTCTGACGCTCTCTAAAACGTCATGTCCTCCCTATTAGCTCGACCAGCTTATCCAGTCTGTCTCTTTTTCTCTTGGCTGGTCCTGCTCCTCCTCATCCTCATCTTGGTCATCCACTGCTGAATCTAGCATTTTGCAAACAAACTTGATCTGCTTTGCAAAGGAAAATTCGACTCGCAAGCAAACTCGATCTGCTTTGCAAAGGAAAATTCGACTCGCAAACAAACTCGATCTGCTTTGCAAAGGAAAACTCGACTCGCAAGCAAACTCGATCTGCTTTGCAAAGGAAAACTCGACTCGCAAACAAACTTGATCTGCTTTGCAAAGGAAAACTCGACTCGCAAACAAACTTGATCTGCTTTGCAAAGGAAAACTCGACTCGCAAACAAACAGAAAGCAATGTGCAAGTACAAAGGTCAATTTGAGCGAAAATGCAGTGGAGTAACATATATGCATTGTGTGTTGCAAATATAAATAAACGAGCCTAGACAATATTTCACAAATAAATACAAACCATCCTGCAAATTGCATGTAACCTTTGAACAAATACCAAATCTAGTGCACACAAATGCATATCTGTCTGTTATGATTGTGAGACACTTGGCTTGTCTTGAGAAAATCGAGCCAAGAGATCTCATAAAAAGCCAAGTGTCTCACAATCATAACAGACAGATATGTATTTGTATGCACTAGATTTGGTGTTTGTTCAAAGGTTACATGCAATTTGTAGGATGGCTTGTATTTATTTGTGAAATATTATCCATCTTGCACATTGCTTTTTTCGTTTGTTTGCGAGTCGAGTTTTCCTTTGCAAAGCAGATCGAATGCTGGATTTGGTATGGAATGTTTAATTATGGCACAATATTAACTCCATACGTAACACACCTCTCTGGAACAACGTCACGCAAACCCATCGTTTCACCAACAAATGGAAGTTTTATCAGAAAAATAACTGTAAAGAAATCACTGGAAACTAGTGAGATCACAAAACAAACTTCCGTTTGTTGGCATTTTTGTTGTTTACTTAAACATTTAAATCCCAAGCATCGATGTTTTACCACAGGTTTTCAATAATAAGTGAGACATTGATCATAATGAATTAATTTGTGTTAAGATTGCACATTAGTCACAGAAATAAAGTGGTATTTACAGTTATTTCACAAAAGAAAGATGACACGTATTCAGTCAGTGACGGGCAGGGCTGGACTGGCCATCGGGCATACCGGGCATTTGCCCGGTGGGCCGACGTGCTTTGTGGGACGATACATCTCATACTTAATTTTTTTTTTTTTTTTTTTTTTTGTCTGAACAGCCCATAAAACTCGTACATCGGCGGCCCATTGCGTTTAGTCTTGTTTAATTGGCGGCTCTGGGATCTTTGTGCCGGTGTAATGCATTGGACAAAAAAGTCAGCGTAGGTTTTTCTTTTTCGCATGACCGACGCATGATGAAACGCGTAGATCAGCGGCCCATTGGTTATTTTCTTGATTGACACTGGGCTGGTCCAATCACATCTTTAAACTCCTCCCCCTTTGAGCTCTGAGTGAGCGATCAGTGTCAGTGTGTATCTGTCAAAATAGTCAGAGCGATGGAGAAGAAACGCAAGGAATGTGCAGATAAATAGCGTGAAAAAAGAAACTTCAAAGGCCCTTCAAGTGTCTGATGAGGATAGTGAGGAGGATAAGGAGAGAGATGAGTGAGTGCAGAGAACTGTGGTAAGCAGAACTAGGCTACTGTCACAACACTTAGGCTATGTAGGAACCCACTACCCAGTTACGCATTATTTATACATCTGCATATTTGACGATTACGCATTTTATTAGAATTGTAATGAGACAATAATGAGTAATGAGTTTGTAAACCATGTTTTTCTTCAAAATAAAAGCTCGATGCCGTTTCCGTCAAAATAAAAGATCATGTGCTTATCTCTGTATAGAAATTAGTACGAAACTAATTATGAAAGTTGCTTTTATTTTTCAGTGCATTTGTTTTACAACATATGGCTATTACTGCCATGGGATTAATATTATAACTATTATTATGTAGTAGTGTAATGTAGACAGACACTATATCACAACTAAAAGTTTTGAATTTTTCTTTGTTCAATTTGCACACTGAATATGGGTTGGAGCTCTTTATTTTTAACTCTCAATGTGCACCAGATTGACGAATTTAACATTAAAAAGCACAAAATTTTCTTACGGGGGAGCATGTCCCCGAACCCCCCTAGAGGGACAGAGGTGCACTCACCACAGACTTCACAAAATCCTGTGGGAAAAACCGGTATTGCTATCCCAGCTTATAGCTTTCTTTAGGATTCATCACTGTGGAGTATAGTTCAACTTAGTAGTTATTTCGTCGGTTAACTCTTATTCACTTATGGCATTAGTGGTTTTTATAGGAGTTGGTATACATATTCAAGGGCGTGCAAAGTTCGGTTGTGTTATATAGTGGGCCAGTCTGGGCCAAAATGCCCGGGCCGATTTTTTGTCCCAGTCCAGCCCTGGTGACGGGAAATATTCGGTTAATGCGTCCACTGGTCCGCACTGACAACAGCGCATGTGCAAGTGATTTGAGCACTCAAAAAGAAAGGTCCACTAAGTAGTGCTCATGCTGAATGTGTCCATCTGTGCTCATTGGCTGCATTTACACTGCAGGTCTTGATGCCCAAATCCGATTTTCTGACTATATCCGATTTTTTTGACAACCCGCTTACATCATCTTTTAAAAGTGACCTGTGTCCGATTTTTGCATTTACACTACACTGCTGAAACTACCAAATGTAGACGTTCTGACCCGGAAAAGGAAGTAAAACAGCACGAAATACAATGGATGTAGATGCGAATAAAATTATCCAGTGTTTTGCTTTCCACAATATTTTTAAAAGTCATTAAAGGGGTGGTTGATTGCGATATCACTTTTTTCATTTTAAATAGTGTGTAATGTTGCTGTTGGTGCATGAACAGTATCTGCAAAGTTGCAGCACTGAAAGTTCAATGTAAGCAGAGATATCGTCTTTTAAAAATCAGGAAGTGTAAATGCCTACAAAAACGACTCGATTGGGACTACAGCTGGGTTTTAGACGTCACTAACCCATACATTTGCATCAACCCTCCCTCCGGAATACGCAAAAAAGGGCATGGCCATATTTCTGCGGCTTTGCCGAAGAGGAAGAGTTACAGGGGAGAGCTAGCCATGCCGTCGAAAGTGTGTTATTTTCATCCAGCTGTTAGGTCTTCTGTGTTCGGGCTTCCTACGGATGCTGTAGTTCGTCAACAATGGCTACAATTTATGTTTGATAATGTTTACAAGTGTAATTTAGCTCTTTGTGCGGCACATTTCACTGAAGACAGCTTCGAATCTCCAACAATTCAATGCCGGATTCCACAAGAAACTGTTGCTAAAAACTATTATTCATGTAATCATTTGTATTAAATGTTTAATCAAGATAAAAACGTATCTCAAAAAGCTGACAAGCAGCAGTAGCATTTTCAAGTATAACAGGGTATCAAACTTCTTATGTAATAATAGAAGAATAGAATAATAATAATTCAAAAACGTACCATTCAGAAACGTTTTTTAACAGCCGTGTTTGCGGAGGTTCTGTTTGACTCTTCATCGCCGCTTTCTGGGTCTGATTCGGGCTCAAACTGATAAGGCAGTATCGACACCATTATTTACATTAACCGGAGCACATGACACTCACGCCCGTAAAGGTAAGGGGCGTGACGGTTCCGGACAACGTGCGCTGCGCAGTTTAGCCAATTACAACACCGGCCCAAACTAACCAATCTGAGCCCACTGCCTGTTTCTGAGGGAGTGGTTTCATAGAATCAGGAAGTCAACCGGTCGTTCAAATGACAGAGGAGAAAGAGGCTTACAATAAAGGTGAAATTTATGAAAAATAAGACTTTTTAAAAAAGAAAAACCACGAATACATGTTACATTGCACCCCAAAAACACAATCATGCAAGGAAAAAAGCAGTAAACCACCCCTTTAAGCTTTTTATCTTACGGTGGCACTGTAGACACGAGCGCTTAAAACCGTGCCTCCCCATATCTCGTGAAAGTTTTTCAAACACGGATTTATTTCTGTAACAACCCTGCATTTTTGCCTGCACTGTCTCTTCGCCCCAAACACTCAAAAGACATGAAACCTCCGCATTGCTTCACTGTGTGTATCCTTCGTCCTCCATCGCGCCAATAATAAGTCATGTGATCTCAGTTGGTGTCCACCTGAGTTGACGTCACTTTTTTTAATGACGTACGACTCGCGTTTACTGGGGAATATCCGATTTGTCTGCTTACATGGCACACGCAAATGCACGTATCCAAATCATATCCGATTTATTACCACATATGAGTGAGGCCTGAATCCAATCTGAGAAAATCGGAATCCATGCGTTTTTTTTCCTGCTTACACGTTCAAGGGTCATATCCGATCTGTGCCACTTGAGAGGAAAAAATCGGATTTGGGTCACTTGAACCATGCAGTGTAAATGGGGCCATTGTCATTGGTGTGTACTTTGAGTGGCTTGCGTGTGTGAAAGAGTGAAATTCTTACAAATCTACAGCTTCTCAAATGGAAGTCCCTGTATCTTTTCCCAGGGTCTTTAGTCGTAGAGAAAACTCCAGTCCGTCATCCCAGCGGTCCACAGCAATTCCTTTTCCAACAAATGAACCCAGGCCCCAGACCCGATGGTCTTCAGGCAGGGTTCCGGAGCTCACCGTCCCAGCAACACCAGCAACAGCAGCAACAGCAGCAGCAGCAGCAGCAGCGGCAGAGCACACTGGCCCAACTGCAGATGCAGGTGGAGAAACTCTCCCAGCAAACCAACCGCCACCAACCACCCAATCAATGGTCATGGTACCACGGTATGCGCTTACCAGGGCCGCCTCCACATAGACCCCTACAGGGTGGCTCGCCATCTCAGACGTTACCCAGCATGCCTCAGCACGGGCGCAGATATGGCGCACGAAGCCCTCCACCTATGCTTCAGCCCTCTAGCTTACCTACACAGGTGAAGCGTGACCTAATATTTCAAGAAAGTTACTGTAAATCATAGGACACATATATGCTACCGGTCAAAAGTTTGGAATGATTACATTTTTTTGTCTCTAAATGCTCACCAAAGCTGCTTTCATTTGTTTAAAAACACAGTAAAATCAGTAGTGTTGTGTAATATTATTGCAGTTTAAAAGAACTGCTTTCTATTTGAAAATATTTGAAAATGCAATATATTTTATGTAATATAATTATTCCTGTGATCAAAGCTGAATTTTCAGCATCATTACTGCAGTCTTCAGTGTCACACGACCCTTTAGAAATCAGTCTAATATGCATTAGCATTCATTACCATTCAAAAGTTTGGGGTCAGTAAGATAAAAAAATTAAAATTAAAATAATTCAGCAAGGATGCATAAAATTGATCTAAAGTGACGGATGTGTTTAAAAGGATTTCTATTTCAAATAAATGCTGTTTATTTAACCAAAAAAAGTTTTAGAATTTTTATGATATGTTAATGTAAAACATCTTGTATAATATTAACTGCTGATTTGTTTGGTTTTCATTTTTATTGTATTTATGCAACTCGTGTATATTTGTAACTGTTTTGCCTTGAAGATAACCTGAGATGCTGTTGTGGCATTAAAAAGCTATTCTACTACTATTACAATTTCCACAAAAATGTTAAGCAGCAGCAGCAAAAAAAAAAATATATATTTCAACATTAATAATAGTAAGAACCATTAATAATAATGGAGCATAAATCAGCATTAGAATGATTTCTGAAGGATCATGTGACACTGAAGACTGGAGTAATGATGCTGAAAATTCAGCTTTGCATCACAAGAATAAATGACAATTTAAAATATATTCAAATAGAAAAGTTCTTTTAAATTGTAGTAATATTTCACAATATTACTGTTTTTACTGTATTTTTGATCACATAAATGAAGCCTTGGTGAGCAGAAGAGACTTCTTTCAAAACATGAAACAAATCGTAATTATTCCAAACATTTGAATGGTAGCGTATGTTAATATAATGTTCATTTATGAATGGAAAAACAGTTGTGTAACTCTGAACTTGCTGTTTTTTTCTGTCTTGAAGACTCTGAGGGGTCTCATCAACAATCCCACCTTCCCTCCTAAACCGATGGAAGTGCTGCCGAGAAGTCGCTATCCGCACAGTGCTGCTCTTTCCAGTGGAGCTTCACATCCGTCTCCACACACGTTCCATCAGGTGAGTGTGGCCATCTTATTCCACCATATACAGTAATATAGGCGCTGACCAATTATATATATATATATATATATATATATATATAACATGCAAAATTCTGTTTGGGCTTTTTAAGCAAAACATGCAGGCAACATCATACCTGAACAGGAGATATGAACCCAGCGCGCTGCTGACGGCTCAAAGGCCCAGTTATCCACCCAGTCACCCCTCCACGCCAACAGAGCGAACTGGTATGCTTAATTGGCAAAAAAACAAACAAATGTCTGGCATTGGTAACCGTCTTGTCTTGTTAATTGGAGAAATAATGTTTTGCTGTCTAGTTCACTCTACTGTTTGTACTGTGTTGTCAATTGCTTTGTGTTACAGTACTAACTGAGTATTGCCTTGATTTTATTGGACTTTTAGCACAAGGAAGGCAGTTTTCACAGATGTCTATCACCTCATCAGAACCAAAGACCAGGTAAATATTTTATCAGTATTTTTCTGTTAATTGAAGGTCCATTTCAAGGACCATTTCACGATGAAAGTGTATCATAGTGTACATGGTTATTTATTATCAGCGGACCAGTCTGGAACATTTAATCACTCCTATTACAATTAATAAATCTGTTAGCACTGTAATCATGTTTAGCTTCATTCATTATAATGGGAGTGATGTGAAGGTTACTTTTAGGGCATGTAAAGAAATATTCTGACTTAAAGGGATAGTTCTCACAAAATGTTTTAATCTGTCATTGTTTACTCACTCTCAACTTGTTCCAAACCTGTATAAATGTCTTTGTTCTGCAGAACGCAAAGGAAGATATTTGGAAGAATGTTGGTAACCAAACAGATCTCAGGCCCCATTGACTACCATAGTATTTATTTTCCTACTATGGTAGTCAATGGGGCCCGAGATCTGTTTGGTTACCAACATTCTTCCAAATGTCTTCCTTTGTGTTCTTTGAGTCCAGCTTGAATCTACTTATCAAACTAACAATTAGCTGGGGAAAAAAATGACATATCCTGGCAGTCTCAATCTCTTTTCACTGCTGTAGCTCATATGCATTCTTGTAGCAGGGATGTGTGATATTGACGACGACAAAATGATTTCTTAAACTCTCCAAAAGAGGAAAATTATATAGATGGATCGGGTCTCGTTCACTTATAATTACGTGGATTATCCGTGTTTATACCCAGAGGAGAACTTTTCGCTTCGGGTTTCGGGTAGTAACCCGAGCACAAAAAGAACTACAAAACTCGACTGCTTTACGGCATACGTCACTTCCCCCACCACTTCCTCAAATTGTCTATGGCCATTGCAGACATCCCAAGTCTATAGCGTCTCCCTGATGCCCGCAAATTAGTTCAAATCTGCCGGAATCTAGAGTGCGCATGCCAGACAGAACATACTGCGCGCATAACATACATAGCGCGAGCACGGCAGAGAGGGAGAGAGCGAGAGACCTTGCATGTGTGCCTCACGAAAGCTAGTCAACCTGCCAACCCCCCGTCAACAATCCAGTCACCAAGATATACCTCCCTGAAATGACTTCGTGCAGGTTGGGATGTCTGCCATTGTTGATTCCAAAGCCAGTGCTGGATAAACAGCGAGCGTGCACGTGCGACCGTAGGCTAAATTATTTACGACAGCGGTGATGGACAATTCCGCTTCCAACCTGTAGGGCGACCGCTGAGGAAAAGTTCCTTGGTGTTGCTTTAATACAATTATACAAAAAAAAAGAATTAATAAAATAAAAATGAATATCTTAAATATATTTAAACGCGTTTAGAAGGGCATCCATGTGATTTCTGTGTACGAGTGGTTTGAGTTGTTAATAAAAAAATTCGTTAATTTACAATACATTTTTGTACAAAAGTTATTGAATATTTTTTTTGTTGTTGTGAAAAGGTTCGTATGCAGATTTCACACACACACATTTAAGCGTACGCACTGTTAGTGAATGAGACCTATTGATTACAGCAGTCAGAAGAGAGAAAGACCCTCACATGTTTACTAGTTACCCCCCGTTTCACAGACAAGGTTTAAGTCCCAGCCTAAAATGCAAGTTTGAGCTGTTTTAACTGAAACCGACTTGCACTGACACGTCTTCAAAAATATGTCAGTGCCATTGTTCTGTCTCAAGATAGTAATGTTTTTTTCGTCTAAGGCACGTTTATAATAGCTAATTAAATGTCCTAATTAAACTAAGACCTAATCCTGGCTTAACCTAAGCCCTGTCTGTGAAACCAGGCCTTCGTTTTAAATTTTATATATATATATATATATAAAAAACTTTGCTAGATGGTTAGTAATATCAGAAATACGTTATCTCAGTTTGTAAAAAGGTCCATTCTTTTAATACCTTTACTACCTTATTTCCTTCACGAAATGTGATTCTAGTCATTTTGTTGTTTTCCTGTTAAAGTTCTGTCTCCTGGAAACGTGCAGAAGCCCCCCAGAGTGGCCCATCAAACCCCTCCACCAAAAGAAGACGCAGGTTGTCTCCAGGACCGGTCATCGTCATCAAAGATGAACCAGAGGATGATGATGAAGTTCATTTTGTAAGCTTTCACTCATTCTGAACTAGATCTGAACATCAGACTTATATATATATATATACACAATCTTTTTTTCTTTTCTTTTTTTTTGTGCTACTGAAGGTAAACACCAGTGCTAAAGCCAGTCTTCCAGACAGCACAGGGGTTCAGTCTCAAACGCCACTGCAGGGTGAGCAGCAAACAGAGAAGACCCCAGAAGCAGATGAAGACCCCAATGAGGACTGGTGCGCAGTGTGCCAGAACGGAGGAGAACTGCTCTGCTGTGACAAGTGTCCCAAAGTCTTCCATCTTACCTGCCATATCCCCACTCTGACTGCTTCCCCAAGGTAACGGAAACATCGAAAGCAGCTAAAACAACCCCAACTGAATATAAGAAATTATTAAATTAAACTGATTAGATAGTTTGATCTGTAGAGATTTCATATCTAATGGCCTGGTTTCACAGACAGGGCTTAGATTAAGCCAGGATTTGGCCTTAGTTCAATTAGGACATTACAAACATTTACAAACGTGCCTTAGAAAAAAAACATTACTGCTGTGTAGGGGTGACCCCGAATAGTCGAAGATTCGATGCTTCGATAGGAGGAGCCTGATTCGACTACCAATCTCACGGTCGAATCTTCGCAGATGTGTTATTAAACGAAGATTATGTCATTTTGGCTATATGAGTGTGCTCAATGTCTGATTTCACATAGAACTACTGGTTTTCTGTCAATACGTTAATATACAGCCTATTATGATAATGCTGTCAATAAAAATGTGCAAAGAAATAAGCTTTTAATAATTTTTTAACGTGCGTGCAGCGTGAATAAATCCAAACACCCCGTGACAGATTTAAGTTTCACTTTCGATCCGTGACCGACAGAGGAGCGTCTTGTCGGCAGGGATTTAAATCTTTAAAAATGTCTGGGATAAGAAAATCTAAAGATGCACACCATCAGAAAGGATATTCTCCAAGGCTGGATTTCGCATCAGGAAAACCATGATCGCACTTCTGCCGGCCAACGTTAAAAGGTTGGTTTTCCTCGGGACGTTCTAAAACGCTTAACGTGTAAAAAGCTTTTAAAACGCTTAAATGGCACTTTTACGTGCTTAATGTATGTATACAGTAGGCTACACACCTTAAGAAACCATTCCATGTGCAGATAAGCAGATGAACCCAGAATATGAACGCAACGCGTTTCTAGAAAGTCACGTAAAGCTTTTACTTTAACGGTTTTCTATATGGGAGGAAAATGCTTAACGTAGCCTATAATAAAACGTGTTGCGTTCATATTCTGGGCTCATCTGCTTTTCTGTAGGCTATATAGTATGCTTTATTAATAAGGTGTGTACAGAATTTGATCTTTTAATATAACATTTTTAGGGCAAAGCCGTTAAGCGTTTTTCACGTTAAGCGTTTTAGAATGTATTTTATCCGCGCACACAATTTGAAAAGACTCAAACGGACACAGGCCGAGTAAAAGACTGGATTTTGTTTTTTCGATCAGGTATGGGTACAAGTGATTTCAAAACATTTCAGCCGGTTCTAATTTGATTTTTGGATAGCTACTGTGAACACGTTTAGCTAAAAAGACTGCCGCTCCAGTTTAGCGTTTATTGTTGTTTCTGCAGTTAAAAAGACAAAGTTGACAATCCTGGCCATACTTTCGTTATTTAAATCATTTCTTTATTTTTATTTTATTAATTGATCATGATTCGACTATTAGTCGACTATAGGCAGGACTTGACGAATCTGATTCGACTATGAAAATCCTTATTCTGCGTTCTGCATCTTCTGACAGAACAATAGCACTGACATAGGTTTCTTTCAGTTAAAATATCTCAAACATGCATTTTAGTCTGGGACAATAGGCTTAAGCCTTGTCTGTGACACCGGGCAGATGTATATTAATATACAGTATAATTAATCAGATGTACACATATTGGCTAGTTGTATATCTAATCAGATTTTAAAGACAAAACTATATTTTTATAATAGTCTTTTATGTCATATGCATGTGAAATGGGTTTTTGGTTTGTGTCCATCAAAAATAATCAAATGAGACCTAGGATTGTCATATGAAAAGTAATTTATTTGTTGTATTGTCTCAAATAAGTCATTACCATATACACTGCTCTGCCAAATAAAAATGTCGCTGTTTGGATTTAAATAGGCAAATGCTTAATTGTCTATGATTGGATCATTATTGCAGTGATTGTTGTGTTTTTATCTTGTTTTATGTTTGGCATCAACTGTTCTTCTAACTCTTAATTGATGGAGAGTTTAGCTTTTAATTTCTTTAAAAACTTGTAGGAAGACACATCATGGCCATATAACAGGATGACAATGTCAAGATTTATCAGGCTCAAATTGTGGAAAAAATGGTTGGGAGGATGAAGAATCGTTTTCACACATGAATCGGCACCTCTGAGTCCAGACCTTTCATTGAAAGTCTGGAGGAGGCTTTACAGAGTGCATGACTCTTGCATTGTCAATACAAGAGTTAGACCAAAAATTGGGACACCTCTGATGGAAATAAATGTTGTGATGTTTTTTCCATCAAGAGGTGTATCAATTTTTGGTCAAGATCTTGTATTGTAATTAAAATTCCTCTGAAACCCTCCACCACCCCCAGCTCCACCTGTCAGAATCTTTTTATGCAACATATATCTTACATGCTCACAGCAGTGTGTCTGTGTATCTGTCGGCAGAAACAAGTCCATACTTGCTCTGAAGTAGCAGCAGATCTATTCCACCAAGACCAAATACATTAACATTGTCTGCCAAAACAATTCAGAGAGTTGTCATGATTGAAATATGTGTGTGTGTATCTTTAGTGGTGAGTGGTATTGTACATTCTGCCGTGACCTTACCTCACCTGAAATGGAGTATAACGTCAATGCTAGCGGAGAATCGAACAGTGTGAAGCAGGATCCGGATTCGGAGGCTTTCACTCCTGTGGATAGAAGAGTATGGACTACTTTCAATTCAGTTCTGCTTTATTAAAAAAAAAAAAAAAAAAATTTTTTTTACATTATTTTACATTTAACTTTTATAATGGCTCTGCATTTATTTGTGTCCATGCAGAAATGTCAGCGACTGCTGCTTCGTCTTTATTGCAATGAGCTCAGCACAGATTTTCAGGAGCCTGTAACTCCATCGGTAAGATCCTCCATCTCACATAGCAACATAGCATTCTACATGCCTGAACTAGATTGAGGAAACTGCAAAAAAAAATACAGTTTATATGCATGCCTGGGTCACCACAAATTCAAAGAAGAAAATATTTTGCTCAATAAAAATTAAGCCTATTATATGAAAACTAGGTGTGTTTTTTTTGCATTGTGACAGTTTTCTTGATAATAAAGCACATTTTACTGTCAGAAATGTCAGTAGCCTATTGTAATACAATTTTATTTTTATTAATTCTTATTAATGTACAATTTAATGATTTTCATTAAGTGTTAAAATTGTTATACATTATGGTAGTGTTTTTCCACTGCCTTCAATTTATGCTGATTTCATAAAATAATTCAATACTTAAATCATTGTGTTTGGAATCAGATTTTTAAATTTAATGACAAATAATCACAATACCAAAATATAAAATTCATTTCCATCAAATGGAATATAGTTTCTTAGGTTTTTCTTCAGATTTTAGGGTGAAATGGCAAAGACAGGATCACTAGGGTTTGAATCAAAGCTTCCATTTTAATAAGAAGTGTTTTCTGTTCTGACCCTGGTTCACTCTTCACATTTGCAGTCGATGCCAGAATACAGTGAGATAATAAAGATGCCAATGGACCTGTCTGTGATCAGAAGCAAACTGGGGGACAGTAGTTATAAGAGCACTGAGGACTTTGTTGCGGACGTCCGGTTGATTTTCAAAAACTGTGCAACTTTCCACAAGGTATGATGTTAACAAGATTATCTTCCAGATATGTCCTCTTGAAACTGGATTGTGCTTGGTGAAAACTAGCAGTGTGACGATATTCTTAGCTCATGACATGAGAAGATGCACGATATCGGGTTCACGAGAACAAGACAAGAAGATATTTTTTTAAGAAACACCATATTTAAGAATTCTTCAATGGCATAATATGACTGGAAAAATAATAATAAACTTTATTTTATAAAGCGCCTTTAAAAGCAACTTCTCAAAGCACACCACCAACCCTAAAATTTACATAAACCCCTCCCCTGGGTACGCGATTTATAGATTATCATGACAGAAAATGCGAATCAATGACTAGAAGATAACTACACATAAGCTACATAAATTCATCAACTAATCGTTCAGAAATGTCCTGTTGCATTCTACATGTTGTCACTTCTTGAGTCTCTCCATCTTTGACTCCGGTTTGAACATAAAAGGCTAAAAGTTTTTGAAATGTTCAGTTCATGTCTGTGTGAGGTAAAAGGACACGCTGTTGAAGCTCCGCCCTCTGTGCCGGGAGCAGCTGCTCATTTGCATTTAAAGGGACAGACACAAAAACGGGGCGTTTTTGCTCACCCTCAAAAAGTGACAATTTTAACATGCTATATAAAAATATCTGTGTAGTATTTTGAGCTAAAACTTAACATACACACTCTGGCGACATCAGAGACGTATTTTACATCTTGCGAAAAGGGCATTATACCACCCCTTTAAGTCTACATTTAAAAATGTCTGAGCATCCCTAAGATCAAGAGGCAGAGAATTACAAAGGACAGGAGCATATGAAGTAAAAGCCCTGTCACCCATAGATCGTAAGTGTGTATGAGGAACAACCAACAAGTTGGATTGTGAAGATCGCAGTGTACGATTTAGGGTATAGGAATTTAACAATTCAGATAAATAATGTGGAGGCAAGCCATGCAATGCTTTATATGTCTGCATCATCATTTTACAATCAACTCGGAATCTGACTGGGAGCCAGTGTAAGGACTCCAAAACTGGAGTAATATGATTGCATACCCTGGACCCAGTCAATATCCTGGCGGCTGAGTTCTGTACATGTTGCAGTTTGTTTAGTATGGATTTAGAGACTCCAGCTAAAAGGGCGTTACAGTAATCTATCCAAGAGACGACAAAGAAATTGATCCGATTTTCAGCTACTGAGAAATTTAGCATAGGGCGCAATCTTGCTATGTTTCTGCGGTGAAAAAAGGATGATTTAACTGAAATCTGAACAACAGAATCAAATGAAAGACAATATCAAAAATAACTCCAAGATTCCTCACTTTAGCTTGAGTCGCCAAGACAGAGCCATCAATAGTCAAAGATAAAGAACCAGCTTTGGAAATGTGATGACGGGAACCAGTAAGCATAGTTTTACCACTGTTCAGACACAAGAAATTATTACTCATCTCAGAAACACAGCCGGAGAGAAAATCAACATCAGGGTGTTCACCAGATTTTGAGTGTATATAAATCTGCGTATCATCAGCATAAAAGTGGTAATGGAGGCCAAGCGATCGCAACAAATGACCAAGTGTGAATTATTTTTTTATTTTTTTTATATATAAAGAATACCAGGTATGTTGTGCCTACTTGTAGGGCTGCATAAAATAATAATAACAATAATACTAATTTCTAATTTTGGGCTGTCACTAATGACTATGTACAGATGGATATGAATATCATCTGATTTTATAATTTATATAAGTAATGAAAGTCATTGTTGAAGTGAATAATTGGTTGGGTGTATTGGCATAAAAGCGCAGTGTTTGTGAATTTAAATTCAGTAACAATTATTTTCAGTTCAGTAGGTTTTAAACATTAATAGACTGCTAGATAAGTGTTATGAGTGTTGAGCTGTTGTTAACCAAAACCCACTTGAAGGTTAATCTTGGCTATGATCAAATAAGGGCTAAATGCTTTAATATAGTTAATGTTTTTAAGATAAAAAAAAAACTCAAAAGTGCCTCTGATTGAATAACACGCACGTGACATCTAATGTTGTGTGTTCACGCTGTTTGTAGGAAGACACTGAAATGGCCAGTGTGGGCGCTAATCTGGAGAGTTACTTTGAGGAACTGTTGAAGCTCTTGTATCCAGACCGGACGTTTCCAGGCGTGAAGGAGGAGAGCATTGCTTCTTTGTGTCCTGACGAATCAAGTCCCTTATCTAAGACGCCTCCACAAGACACTTCCCCAGTAGAGGAGGCTGCGAGACCCTCTGGTGAAGATCTCCCTCAGGAGGAACCGCACACTAAAGACATCGAGGAGAAGCAAGAGAACTTGAGCGCCGCTTCAGGATCCAGTCCTGTAAATGCTGAAACGGACAATAATGAGACTAAAGAACCAACTTCCTGAAAGAATCTTCCTTGTTTTTCCTCTAAAGACTGGATGGTGACATGCACTTTTCTAGAGCGTGAAATCTCTGGTTCAATTGCAATAATTATACTGTATATTTTAATTGTTTTAAGCATTTGGAAAACAAGCTAAAAAACATACTAAAAATGTATTATAACAATGCAGTGTGTAATATAGGCACAATAAATATCTGAAATATGGCCCATCAAATTTTCATTTTGTTGATGTGCAGTAAGAAAAGTGAAATGAAAGCTGCATTCAATTTACTTTTAAATTATAGTTCTCTCAAAAATAAAAAATAATTTTCATTTAGTTATTGTCTATTTGATTACACTGTTTTAATGTGATGTTACTGTGTAATTGCACAAATTAAATATCGAGTAATATTAACTACATGAACTTACTAAGGGTTAAGGATAGGGTTAGTTACTTGTAACTATGCATAATTTACTGTTGTTATTATTATAGTAAGTACATGTAACGCCTAACTACACCTTAAGATAATGTGTTACCATTTGGTTTCTTAATGTAGTCGTTCACTTGTCGTTCTGTCGCTTTACTTGTACACACAAAAAAAATACAATTTAATTTCATCAAGAAAGCAAATAGTTATTTTTAATCACCAAACCAAAGAAGGTCATTGGCATGTGTCAATAATCACAAAATGCCTATTATTAATTGTCTTCGAGCTGATTAACTCAAAAGTTGTGTAATAAGGTATAAAAACAAAGAAACATTTGTTTAGTGTTTAGCTGGCTGAATACGTCACGGCTGAGTTAGCCGCGACTTATTCACAATACAGAACAGCCTCTTGTACCTAATTGCTTTTAATTATTTTTTTTCCTTCAGTTTCACCAATGTCCAGAAGCATACAAATACAGCCTCAAACATACAATGAGGGAAAAAAGGGAGAAAAAGAAATACATAAAAAAAGAAAATCATGGAGTCAGGAGAGGTTATTGACATAGTGCCAAACAGGTGTCCATATCTGCCAAAAGACTTTTGATGTGTATCATAAGTGAGTTTCTCGAGTGGTAGTAATGCAGATATTTGAGACATCCACATTTTGAAAGAAGGCACCTGAGGGGATGACCACAGTAACAATATACATTTCTTTGCCATATAAGCCAAAATTAAAAACATGTGTTTAAGCTGGAAGACTGGAAGAACTGGAAGAGAGGGCAACTCTCTGAGAAAACAAAGTAAATAAACATTTGAACCCTCTCTTGTAAAATTAGCATCACCATTCGAGACTCAAGTCTCACCTGAGTATCATCCTAATCTACATCTCTTTCCCTGCTGTACCAAATTTACAATATGTATTTTATAATATATTGATTTATAGCGATATTTAAATGCTTTGCGCGCTTAAACGAGACGAAACTTTTCTCAAAGGCGACGATCTTCTTTGACTCAATACGGAGCTGACGACGAGGAGGTTTGCTTGTAACGTTAACAGGAAAAACACAGAAAGTAAGTGTTTTTAACCTAATTTACAACATGTATTTCATGGCATTATATTGTTTTGTAACGATATGTATGTGATGTGCGCGCCTAAACCTTTCTCACAGACTAGGCCCACAGACGACTAGGCCTGCATCTTTGAGTCGTGACGCAGTGCTGACACGGATTTTGCTTTTAACAGTAAAAACAAATAGTAAGTGTTTTAACTCATTACAATACGTGTTTTATATTGTTTGATGACAATATTTGTGATGTGCGAATATTAAAAGTATGTATTTATCCTCAAACTATCTTTTACTCTCGTTTACCAGCACACCTAAGTTAGTATAAGTTAACTGAAAAACAGAAGAACAACACAGACTGCAGACCAACAATGCACGTGAAATTGTCACTTTATTTTCTTTTTTGGAGGACCAATTTTCTTAGAATGGGTAAAGGAAATTCCGGCACATCTGACGTCATACACGCCCATACTTGAAAAAAACTTTCCGAAACTTGTGACAACCAGGAAGGAGTATTTTGAGAACAGAAATACTCAATCAAACGTACAAGTTAATTTTTAAAACTTTGTCCATGTTTAGCATGGGAATCCAACTCTTTAACAGTGTAAAAAACTCACTATGCATGAAATAGCATTTCACCCCCCCCTTTAAGAGGTTTCAGGCGATCCTCATTTGACACCACCTGCAGCTTGATGGTGAAATTCACAGATGATGCGGGGCTGACTGAAGAGGCTTTGGACAGCGGAGGCCCTTCTCGTGAATTTCTGACCCTGCTGATGGACACCATCAAAACCAGGAGGGTATTTGAAGGCAAAGAAAATTCCAAATACCTCTCATTTGATTGTAAATCTAACACTTTTTTGTGAAGTTTTTACAATGTTGCAAATCAATTTGTCCTAACATTGCAATATTGGCATTTTTAGCTGCAGAAGACAATGAGTATTTCCAGATTGGAAAAATTATTGCTGTCTCGATTGTCCATGGAGGTCCAGGGCCTCGTTAGCCTGGGAAAACCAAAAGGCCAATGAAATCGATGTTGTTTGGCAGATTCCGCGAACAACAACCAATGGAAAAATTGCCGATGGAGAAATATTTTTCTTACCCAATCAGAGGAAGGTTACCATGACATTTCTAGTAAATCAGAGGACTCTGTAGCCTTGCAAGGGGTGGTACTATATAGTTAGGGATATGACGCAAACAGCGTTGAATGGAGAGAAGGAGAGAGAGCGAACGGAGGCTTACGGAGCGGATTATCAGAGATTTACGTTCTATGAGAGAGAGACAGAACAATTATAATATATATATATATATATACATACACATACAATTATAGCATTATTTATTGTTTTAGCACTTTTATGATGGCAAGCAGTAAACGATTTACGGTGGAACAAGCTCTGGAACAATTACTGGAGAGTGACGAGGAGAAAGCATTGCTTAGAAAATTCTATGCATTCCTAAGAAAAACGCCTAGGACTATTTGTAAATAAAGTTACATTTTTCATTGTTCTTTACACATTTTATTTAACAATTACACATGTCTGTCAAGCAAAGGCTTTGACAAATATATTTTTTGTTCAAAAACTGTTCACTAATGTTGTGTGATGTGTGATTTTCAGAAATAAATGACAAAAATCTAATTTCCGTTTTTGAAATTCTCTAGTTTATAGTACATTTTTCACTCATACTTCCTTTATAAACACATTACATGCATGCTTCTGTTAGCTTAGGGTCTTCTGAATCCATAGATACCAAACACCATAGTGTTCCATCTACATTACATATGGTTTATAAGGCCAAATGTAAAAATAGAGAAAACGGACCAAAAAGGGCTTAGTCCCCAGAGGGTTAAGAGTAAGTAAGTGGATAATCTCAAATTTCCAAAAACATTTCAGGGTATGTAAGTAGCCATAGCAACCACGGAAGCTAGTTTGCTTAAGAGGTATTCAGATGCGTTATATAATTAATATAACAAAATTTGTTATATAGTTGCACTTATATAATATGCAATATTATATATAAATTCTAAAGGACTATTATAACAAGGTAATGTTTAAATGTTTATTAAATTAAAATATATTTATTTTATTGTCATCTCAGACATGGATCTACATTCAATTAATTAGCATCAAATAAACAATATAATCCTTATTCTCAATGAATAAAGATCCACCAAATAGTTGGCGATGTGCACTAAGTAGGTTATATAAATCGCCATTCAACAAAAGGAGGAAGTAGAATGGCACGCTTTTTCTTAGCGTCTGTTTCCATGGTGAATCATCGATTCGTCACTCTGTTGAGAATGTCTTGTGTGTTAAAAGGAACATACTCTGGGTTGGATGAACTTACTCCCCGCACGCGTTTTTGGAACCAACATACCTCGAGTAAGCAGGGTTTGGGTTAATCTACCGAGAGTTCAAGGTATATCTGACGGTAAGTTAACCTTGCTTTCTGGAATACACCCCTGGACTTTACACCTCTGCAAACCACCTCCATGCAACAAATCAGCACTGTGCTTAAACCCTTTTACAGCTGCAAGGTGATGACTACACTGATTTGAAAGTAGCAACAAGTAAAAAATAAATGGAAACAAACTAAAAAACATCATGTCTAACATATTTTTCTTTTGCCCTCCCTAGAAAAAGAGACTAGTCCTTCTTTGGAAGATGTCCTTATGTTTGGAACTGGGCTGAAGAAGTTCCTCCTGCAGCAATACAGCCACAGCCACTGCTAGTCTTTCAGAAGATATTACGCTTTCCCATGGCAAATGTATGTTCAAATACAATCAAAATTCCAATCTTACCTAGTTATGAAGAGTTTCAAGAAGCCATGGATTATGGCTTGCAAAACTCCCCTGGTTTTGGGCTTCCTTGAAACTAAACATCTTTGGCTGATAGACCAGAGTTTAGGTCAGAGTTAACGGTTTTATTGAAATGCAGGTGTGTTTGTATAACTTGTACATTTTAACCTGCACTAGTTAAACATTTCAAGCCACTCAAAGGAAGGAAAGCTCAGGTTAATAGTTTTGATTGTATTGATGCACTGCTGAGTTTTGAGGAATAATATAACAGTTCTCTTACGAGAGATACTCTCGTACTGCGTAATATCTTACGCTATGGGGAAAACCTCTTTTCCACGAGATATTTAAGCCAAAAATTATCCTTAATTTTTAATCAATGCAAAACGCTTTGCGGCAGCATGCAGACATAGGCGAGGCAGCTTGCGCGCCTATTGGCTGCCCTGCGGCAAAAGCAGCAGCCTATCGAGAGCGGCTCTGCGTGACGTCATGACCAATGGGGGCACTTCGCACCCGCTTTGTCACGTCCCGCCATAAAGGGCGTGGTCTCGCCCTATAAAAGCAGGTTGATAGGCTGATACAAACTGATTTTCATCTCTTCAAGCGAAGCTCACGCATCGCTGGATCCGGAGTGAGAAGCCGCGCCGTCGACGCAAGCCTTTCAGCGGGACGAGCCCTTGAGTCTGAAGCCGCTGGCCTTCACCTCGCCGCCTTCAGCCGCCGTACCTGCTGCGCTTTCCGGCGCTTATATCCTTTACTCTGCTGAGAGTGTTTGTTTGCCGCTGCAACTTACACTTCTCCAAAAAATTCTAAAACAGCTGCATCTTTTTCAAGATGCCTTCCTGTGGCTCGTGCGAGCCCAACTCAGCGGCGAGGACCGCCATGTCATCTGCGTGTCCTGCCTGGGTGAAGATCACGCGGCTCTCGCGCTCACTGA